CGTGAGATGTTTCAAACGATTAAAACAGACAAAAATGTAGTTAATTAAATAGAGATAATTTGATTTCTGAAATTAAAACATGTAAAAGGCAAAATATCGCACTGACGTTCACGAAAAATTAATGCACCGATCGACCTGGCGGCATATTACGTTAAAGAATCAATTTTAATTAAAGACAATCACAGGCTTTCTAAAAAGATAGGAATCCGTCTAAATGCTTCTTGCTTGCCTCCACTGTCTTTGCCTTCGCACATGCTCGCTTATATGATAGATGTGTGTTTATATCAGTACTTGCATATATACATGTAAATATAATTAGATAGATGTGTGTTCATACTTGCATATATATACATTTATACATATACATACATACATATAATACATGAACATACATACATGTTTGTGTGTGTGAGTGTGTGTGTATACAGGTTAGTATGATTTTGCATATGCGTAAATATCCAATATTATTACACAATTAGCAACGAATGTTTGGTCAAATATATTAAAATATATTAAATTACACACACTTTGCATGAAAATTAAATTAAAAAAATCTAGTCATTATATGCGAAAGCGAAACCCGCACAACTTAAAACCCAAAACTCGTTATATCAATATTAATCTCTGCAATTGTTGGCGGGTAATACGTTAAACAAATATGAAGTTTATTTCAAAATCGGTCCTTCAAAAAATTTTGTACGTACGTTTGTCGAGAAATTAATGTAATTAAGTTTTAAATATTGATTTTTCAAACTTTATTGAAAGTTTGAATACAGAGCAGTGTGCGTATGTGCGTGCGTGTGTGCGTGTGTGTGCTTGCACGTGTGTGCTTGTGCGTGTGTGCATCTGTGTGTGTAAAGTTATCTTCGTTTTGTAAATTTTTAATTGTGTCAATCAAACCATTTTGTGGTCCATAATGAAGATTTTAATTTTTTTCTTAAATAATTTTTTCCATATATTGATACAAATTAATGAAATGTCTGTAACATTTTAAAACAGTAATACTATTTAGTTAATGTGATTTACTTGTTGCTAACTTTCTCAGTTAATATAATATACTTGTTGACAAATTTCTTGGTTTGTTGAGGATTTTAACTTTGATCATCTCTACTGTAGTTTTAAAAAATAAAAACTTGCATCACATTCAGCTGACAAATTATTAGCTGAAAGTCAGTTTTAAATTTTCAACGGAGTTTGAATGTAATATTGGATTGAGAATTAAAAATAACTTCTTCACAAGCTTAAACAAATGTTAATATATAGAACACAACTTCTATTTTGTAATTTTCTATTATGCTTAAAAACATGTAGAAATGTTACCAATTTATGTGGTTGTCGAGATGGTGTAATGGCTAAGGACGCTCTATCCTGTGCTCCTGGGGTCGAGTTCAAATTAAAAAAGTTTCGTGGTACGCAAAAAAATCTTTTAACGTTTAAACACTGCAGTTACTGTTTCGATTCGTATGCGCGCGTATAATTTATGTGCTTAAAAAACAAAAAAGATAGCAGAGTCGTAGTGGAACATATTGTTGTGCAAAGTTATCAGTTGAGGTGCATCTCCCCCGATGACTTGTTGGCGATCAATCATCCGACCATCAACCAATCATTTATTCTTCCTTAGAACAAATGTTCAGCCAATCAGATCGTGCCGTCGACATCGCCATCCTCTTCCTCCTCTTTCTAATGGCTCACTCTTTTTACTTATATGTCACATATTTCGTCAGTCATCAGATCATATATAGGTATACTACGCGTGCATATATTATATATATATATATACACACATATATATATATACATAAACATATACACATATATAAATATGTATACACACAATGTATTTACAATATACATGTTGTTATTTGTTAAACATTTGCCGTATAAATAGGATAAGTTTCCGTGCATGTTTCGTTTCTTACTGTTTTCTTCCTCTCGCTGGCTGTCGAGTCGATGGACGGTTGAAGAATTTTGTTCCATCGTTCCGGGGTTTTTTTTATAAACATTTTGAAGTGAATTTTTATTTCACGTAATGCATTAAGTGTTTTTGTTTTTTGCAGCATTAAATGAGTAATTAAAACCTTTTAAAAAAAAGGATTATTTCAAAGTTTCAAAGAATTACACCGCCACCGTCCGGAGTCCGCTAAAAACGTTTGCAGGTTGGTTCTATTATTTATTATAATTATTTCATTAATTCGTGGTTGTATTAATGGGAGTTGAGCTGTAAGAAGATCGTAATTTAACAAATTTCACAAATATGATAAAAATACAATTTTGTTGAAAATTGTTCAAAGCGTTTCTTCATTGAGCCGTGTTTTTGTTGTTCAAATGAATCTAAAAAATAATGTGAATATTTAAAAAAAATTTTAATTTTTAATTTAATTTTGAGTATTGTTTTTGGTTGGTTCCGTTAAAATGGTCGATACAATTTTTAAAGGTTTCAAGTTATAATACAAGAAGTTTTTTTATAAAAATGTGGTGCAAACTATTTTTTATTGATTTGTTACGTTGGTTATTTTAACGAAAATTAACATCCCGAGCTTATCAATCAGTGGAAGATGCGTTCTCGTAAGATCCGTTTATGAAGCAAGTAGAACCTGGCCGGTTATCTATTTTTAAAATTTTACATTTCTTATTCAACGTACAGGTCAGTTACATCGTCATATAACATTGTGCTTTCACGAGTGACTAAATTGTTTAGCAGTCAAGACGCCAGGTTCTGCTGCTGCTGCGTTCACAGAATTCAATTGCAAGTACGTCCTCGCACAGTGGTTCTGTGTGTTGCGTGAATTCGCCTGCATTTTGCGGTTGCTATAAGTTTTTTGTTGATACATTTAAAGAACAATTTAGAGTTAACGTTAATAATATGTAAAACGTTATTAATTGCTGACAAAAAACAAACAAACTGGAATTATGGATTACGTATAGTCGGGACCAACTGTCATCGGAATTGAACTTGGCTGGATCAAGTGCACTCGGGTCCAATTAGCCGGGATTGTTTGTAGCGAATACGAGTGTATCGAGATTACCTGAGTTCATTAATATTAAAGTTACCTGTACCATCTTTCACTTTTTCATTACAAACGTTCATTTTACCCTACCTACATATTCTTTGTGCCATTGTTAGAATCATCACTAGATTATTTTTGGCGATAGCTATATATCATATAGCATTTTCTGCGTTTGCTTTTTCTGGTCATTTTCTCTGGAACTCTCTACCTCCTTTTCTGACTACTTCTCCATCACTTGCGAAGTTCAGAACGGATTTCAAGACCCATCTGTTTGAAAAATTTCTTGAGGAGCGCTGTTGAGCGTCGCGGAAAGGGCGCTTTAAAAATTGATCGATTGTTTGATTGATCAATACATCATATCAGCTAACCGTTATCAACTCCATCTTTATCATCGTCATCTTCAACTTTATCATCGTCGTCATCATAATCATCGTCATGATCACCAAAACAAACAAAACTTACGAGCGGTGTAAAAAAAAGGCAAACGAGAGCATGAGAATCGTGTGATATTAATTGTTATGAATTGCCCGATGTTCTTATCGTTATTTTTTTATTAATTCGACAATTTATTTGAACTCACATCATTTAAAACTAAATTAAACAATTTGCACGGTTTATTAAAAATTCAACATCTATTAAAATATTTTCAGCTAGTAATTATTTTTAAATTCTGCAATTCACTCCCTGTAATGAACCCTAATTTGTCTGTAACGTTTGTTATTCTTCAACGTTAATTGCGTTTGTGACGTTGATAATGTAACAGCAACAACATTGAATAATTTTTAGCATTAATTGCGACGAATGTAGAATTTTAACTGTAATAGTGTTTGTTTTCTTGGACGCACCAACCACGCACGCGAACCTACAGCGTTATTGCGAATTCAAGTAAGTCAACGCATCACTGACTTTGCGTATGATAGGTGGAGATTTCGCTGCATTTAAATCCAACCTCTGCAACACAGAACCAGGCATCTGGTTGAAATTCAGATGATTTTTCTTCTCCTTAGAAAGTTTATTTTATCTAGTTTGCAATTTTACACACATTATTAATGTCTGTTGCGTTTTCTTCATTCAAAATTTGCAAATTAATGAGAAGGCATGCTGAGCGAAACAAAAAAGTTATTGGTAATAAAATGGCGTCGCTCAAATATCATCACCATTACCATCATCACAAACGTTTAAAAGCGCACGTCCAGGGCCAGGTGACTAAACCTAGGCTCTCATTGAGATTCTGTCAGTGATAGCCCGAGTACTGAAAGTTGGCTTTCTTACCACTTGTTCGCACACTTTAATGCGTCTCTTCCATTGTTTCCATTTTCAGCCATCTCTGGTTGTATGTAGGTCTGATACTCTCACGTTTCAAGTAACTTCCATCCTCCAGAGTAAGTTAAGGTCTTCCGCTTTTCCTCAGTTCTGCATAATCAAATAATCCACATTTTTAAACACGTTCATTTAATTTTATACTATCTAACAGCACTATCTCAATTATGTACGTTTGATCAACGCTTTCTTATTCATCTACGTCTTCTTCTTTTAAATATTCATGACCGATACAAATTTTAAGCGATTTTTTCTTCGTAACGTTTGCATAACCATTCTTTTAGTCTTCTCGGGTTTTCTACTGACTGACATTGCTCATGCTTTACATGCACATAAAATATTTTTAAATTTCAAGGTTCTTTTGAATAATGATTCAATTTGAAAGCCATGGAATCAAAGGACAACATTATTAACTACCAAAACAAGCATCAACAACATCAACAACCACATCAACAACAACACCAGCTTACCCATTTGCAACTTCAACAACATCAACAACAGCAACATCAACAGCAAGCATTCAAATTTAATTTTCGAGATGATAACAAAAATGTCAACAACAACAGCAACAACAACAAATCATCGTCAACATTATCAACGTCATCATCATTGACATCATCATCATCATCAACAGCATTATCATCTTCAACATCATCAACATCAACAACAACTCGCAACCCAAGATGTGCTCACTGCAGGAATCACGGCGTGCAGACGACTTTGAAGGGTCACAAGGCTTACTGTCCCTACAGGAACTGTAACTGTGGTCAGTGCCAGCTGGTCAGAATGAGACAGAAGGTTTGTGTATTGGCTGGCTGGCTGGTCGGTTGGTTGGTCAGTCGGTTGGTTGGTTGGATGGCTGGTTGATTGTTTGATTGATTAGTTAGTTGGATGGCATGCTATTGGCTGGTTAATTAGTTGGTTGGTTGGTCGGAGGGTTTTTTAGTAGCCTAGTTGATTGGTTGAATCATTTATTAGTTAGTTAGTTAGTTAGTTAGTTAGTTAGTTAGTTAGTTAGTTAGTTAGTTAGTTAGTTAGTTAGTTAGTTAGTTAGTTAGTTAGTTAGTTAGTTAATTGATTAATTGATTATTTAATTAGCCAGTTGCAGAAAAATTAGATCGCAGGCTGGTTGGTTGGAGGGATGATTAATTGGTTGGGTGTTTGGATTGTAGATAGGTTGGTCAGGGTCACCCATTTGAAACTCAGCGTGATCGTGACTTGTTGCAGTTAGCTGCTCATTTGTTGGGCAGCACTGTACAGATCTGAATGCCAGCGGTGCCTTTTTTTATTAAGTTATTTCAAATGATAAAGAAAAACATAAAATATCTGTATATATTATACTTTATATATAATATATCATAATATATCTGTTAGTTAAGTTGCTGAAATTAAATTAAATTAAATTGAAAAAGAAAAATGGTTTTGATGATAGGTAGGCTGATAATGATGAGGATGAAGATGTTGATGAAATGACAATGATGATAAAAATGAAATGGTGATGATAGTGGTGGTGACGATGAAATAATGGTGACGTTAACAGCAATGGTATGATGATGATGGTGGCAATTATAATGATGACATGGTGGTAATTATATAATAATAATAGTAATGATGATGATGAATAAATTACGCTGATGAGGATAATTAGAAGGATGCAGAAGATAATATGATTAATATAAAATGATGGTAATACGAATGGTGCTTACTATGGTTTAGTATTGGTGTTATATTCATCTAAGTTAAATTTAATTTTTTTTAAAATTTGGTTTTAAACTATTTTGCATTTTTTGTAAGAAAAATGTTAAAAAATAAGTAGAAAATGTGATTTATGACAAATTTTTGCTAGCATTTTTTAATGGCATGATAATGAATGTTGTTAGGTGCTTATGTAATAAAATTTATCTATCACTCACCAGCATTTGGCAATTATTAATGAGATAAAAATAATGGTTAACCAGTAATAATTATACGAGTTGTAGTTGATAATAAATGATAATTATATTAATGCAATAATGTTTCATGTTCACATTGCTTACGTTTCATAATTTGTAAGATCATGTCACACGCTGATTATCAAGGTGTGGTGAAGTGGTTTTGCATCGCCGGGTGAATGGTAAATTTTGACAGAAAGCAAATGTTTTGACTCAGTGGCGAATCTAGACAACGTTAACGGGAATCCAAAATTTGAAAAAATGTTGAATTTCCTGTGTAAAAACTGAGTTTCACTGACCTTTCATAACAACACTGCCAACAATGGCCTTTCAGATCTGCAGCTATTTTGACTTGTGTTGTTCATTAAAAGTACATGAAATTGATGGTTCAGTTTTTGATTTCATGATTTTTTCATGCTAACATTATTAAACCTAACCTTAAATGCAATTTGAATTTGTATTTTTCAATTCATATTTCTCTTAATCGTCATGCAATACGTAAAGTTGTTTTTTTGACTATATATTCAATGTTTAATTTACGTTAGTAAAAGCTTCATAAAAAATGATTTCAATAATAAGTGTCTTCAATCGACTTGAGTGTTGCTATCGAGACACAAGTCCATTTGTTACGACGCATTGAAGGGTGGCAAACATGAGCCGATAAGTTAATATGCACAAATTTACTTTAATGAAGAACCACTAATGTTTAACAAAATATGAATGTAAAATGTTTTTAAAAATAAGTGGAATGATGGATTTCAGGTGATGGCGAAGAATGTGGCTCTGAGAAGGAGGCAGGAGTTGGACAAGTTAAAAATGAAGGAAATGCTCGAGTCACAAAAAGTTAAAAGAGATTCTTCAATGGAGTCTCCTAGTTTCAACGGTGAGCAGGCTATTCCAACCATTGTGCTTCTTCCGATACATTCATCACTTCACCATTTCAATAACAATCCAATAATGTTAAATGCATTTTATATTTTCTTTATAGTCCATTGCACTGAACGCTATTGAATGAAGAAATCGCTCTAATCTACCAGTTGATGTTTAATATGACATCTATGGAATTTATTTTACTTTTTGCAAAATTTAACGGAAATATGTTCTGGTGGCTATCGTAATATTGTTTAATTGCTTGCTGGCTTACAAGTTGCTTTACTTTTTGAATTTCATTAATGATGACTTAAAACAAAAAGATTGATATTAATAATAATTTGAAGCACAAAAACAATCTGCCTAAGTTGTAGCTTAAAAGTTGCAGAACAAAAAGTGTTTCTATTTAAATTTTAAAAAGTTCTTAAAACAATGGATATTTTAATTTTCCAACGTTTGTTGGAGAAATTATTTCAGCAGCATCATTTTGTCGTATTAGCGAAAATAGAATAATGGATTGATTGATTTTTTTAGGTATGTTGCGAGGGACACAATTTTATTTCAAATTTTATGAATTAATTTGCAACCTGTGATAAATCGAGAAATTTTTGTTGGGAGTGTTTTTCTCAAGTCTACAACATTTTCTTTTATTGCGTATTCTTCATTATTATTTCCACATCATTTTACTTGATTATTTTAATATGAAAGCCGTAAAACGTTAGTTGTATCAAGGATTGCACTTGAAAATATTGTACGTTTTTGCTCTGGATGGTTCGATAATGGATTATATTCCCGTTTAATGTCCTGCTACTCTCCAATAGATTTTTTATTGTTTAATTTAGAAAAAATTGAATTGCGACGCGAAACAACGTTACAGATAGTGAGTGTTTCCTTTTTTCATGGCCGGCGCATCCCCTTATCTTCCTGTTTTCTCCATTCTTTACAACTTCTTCTTGTTCAGATATATTAAATTTTTTTAATGCAAACAGACAGCAAATCGAATTCGGATGTTGACATGGAGATGCCCGCCCTCACAAACTGTGTGCAAGAGGAGGAGGAAAGAACGAGCAGTCACATCAGTGCTCTGGCTCTCATCATTTTAAACTTCTACAACAACGATCCGAAAATTGCCATGAATAGTATAAAAAAAGGTTCCTTTTTAATTCTTCCACTCACCGTTGTCAGCCATTGATTAATTTTTTTCATAGCAGAATAACCCTATCAATTTAATTATATTTTTCAAAAATTTCAAAAAAGTCTTTTTTATTAATACATAAAAGTGGCTTTGGAACTAAGTTCGTTGGTCAATCAGGAATCATGTACAGCCGTAGATCAGGTATGTTTCGGTTTAATTAATCTTTCAACATCAGATGAGTACCAGTCTCAAAAATAATTAATTATATGCACTAATTTCCATTTATTTATTTGTTTATATCTATTAATATAAAAATTTTAATTTATGAGCTTACTTAGTAAATAGGCTTGACGCTCGCCTCAAATATCAAAAGTAAAATAACATAAGATTTTTATTTTTTGACTGTTTAATGTAATGTAATATTGTTGGTAAATTTAACTGTTTTGTGAGTGTTGTTTGACATTCAACATTCTGTTTAAAAACGAAACATCGTGTTTAACAAATTTGTTTCTGAATAATATTTGCATATATTCAACAGGAGAGGAGAAGCAATTTGAAGGATAACGAGTCGGTGAAGAATGATCTCATATCGTCTTCAGTGTCGGAAGAAAATCTTTCAAATAAAAAATCGAAACTGACATCATCGCCCTCGTCATCATCGACGTCATTTCCTCTATCGTCCCCCATATATTCATTCAACCCTTTCACTTTGCGTGCATTCAAACCAATTACACCCCACAATCATGAAAAACCTCGAAACAACATGCACAGATGTGCAGCAAGTTTTGCTTCGAAGAAAGACGATAAGGTAGGAGTGGAGCTCACATCTGATGAAACAACTGAAAATTTAAAATCAAAAACTGAAGAAGTCGACAATATCAACAGTTCCCCTTTTTCAATCAGAAACTTGACATCTAACAGCAAAGCAGGGTCCATTTCAAATGATTGCCAATACGAACAGAACTACTTTCTGACGCACGAGAAGAGTAATGAAATAAGCAGAGCCGTGCAAAGATTGCAGCATTTTAATATGACGCCACAGTTCAACAATCTAACCGGCCAGCGAATCATGAATCCATACATTTTCAATCATGCCTATCACAATCTTCCTGCTTTTCTGCCCTTCCAGCATACTTTGCATGGATTCCAACATTCGTTTTGGAGTAAAAATTGGAATAAGAGGGATAACTTGAACACGCTAGGTTGTGTTCAATCCGGTTCACCACAGAGTCGCCCTAGTCTTGAGTCTAATAATTTTTTAATAAAATTTAGTGGAACTTGAACTTGACATATTTTAAAGTCTAGTAAAATTTAATTTTGTTGATCAATTAATTGCCACAACTATTGTTGATTTTGTTTTTTTTTTCGCTCCGAAGTATTGATATTAAATGTGTTTATTTTGATATTTGTTAAGTTCTGAACTTTTGTTAAAATATTTTCAATTATTTTATTTTCGTTTTATTTGGACATTCCTTCCAAAACCCGCCCGTTTTTCATTATATGCAAGAATAAATATTTGAATATATCTATCTATCTAATAACAAATTGTTATTATAGGTGTGTGTTATATTTATATATTGTATCTATTCATATGCATCATTTTACTTCTTTTTATAACTGTTACTCCACACGTCACATGTTCCTAACTAAATAGCAACATGTTATTAGGGCATGGAAATGCACTGGGTAACGTAATAAATCAGAATTTAAACATTCTTGAATTAGTTTTTATTTTCAGAAAAATTTCTCTCTTTTTTCTTAAAAAATGTAGTGTAAGGACATTTTAACTCGCAGCACTTTCGTCATTGAAACGTCATAGTTTACCATAGAATCGATAAACAAAATAACGTATAGTTTTTAAATTCAATCGAATTTGAAAATAATTGCTTCATATTCGACTTACTACATTGTGAAAACTTATTTTCTTTTAAAATAATCGTTAATGTGGAATGGCGATCATACACTTGATACATGACCTCCATTTAAGAGTGTTCCTCGTGATTAAAATAGTTACAACGTCTTTATCAACGGCTGAGGGTCAACTTCCCCAAAATCAGGTCGTAGAGGTGGGTAGCAACATGACCATCCACTGCTCGACCGAATACCCCGGCCACGGGATCATTTGGTACTATCAGATCGGCGAGAGTGGCATCGACGTCACTATCCACGAGCAAGACTTCAAGAACACGCCCTTCGGATCACGCCTCGAAATCACTCGGCGCAGAAAGGTGAATCGATGGGTTTTTAGTTTGACCCTAGCAGATGTAAGGATCTATGATTTCGGTGTTTTCACTTGTTATAATGTAAAAACACGATTGTTTGCAAGCTGCATATTGACCGTTGTAAAATTTATGTCGTGCAAGTCCACACATAATCACGTTGCCACAACGTATGCTTGTAAATTCATGCACTCAGATCTTATAAAAATTGAAGCTGCATGGACGTGCAATCGCGATAACGTCGACATCGGCACGGAATTAAGTAGTCCCATGATCAACATCCCAGGAACTAATAAAACAATCACTGTCAATGTTGTAAAGACTAAAGCTGAATTAGAGAAAAGATTTGGAGGGACTTATAAGTTTCAGTGCAACATAACCTTTTCAGATGCGTATTTATCGCCGCCTACATGGGCGAAGGACTTGGATAAAACACCGATGCGATATTCAAAGAGTTACAACTACCTCGCTCACATACAGTTCAACATAACCGATCATTACAACCTGGTTGTTAACGAGCCAGTTCAGTGTTTGGCGTTCAGTAATCTGCCCGTTGATTTTGGAATCATAGTTAACGACAAAGAATACATAAAAGGAGACGTTGTCTATATTAACAGGTTCAATCAAACCGTGAAAATGACGTGTTTCGCTAAGAATAATCTTAATTTAGAGCCAGTTTATATCACGATTGAGGATATCAAAGTCCACAAGACCTATCCTGTTTCTAACTGCATGATTCATAACATTCACGATTGCTTTGAAAAGTTTATCTACGATATCGACGATAACGCTGATTTTTTGATCATGACACCTCATCGCTATCACGTACTTTGCAACGAAATTTTGCATAACATATCAATTTGCGTCAGAAAAATTGTGCCATGTATGATGAGCAGCATTTACCTTCATTACTTTCAAGCATTGAGATATCTTTGTTCTAACAATTACCTAGTTCATCGGCCTTACTTTTATGGCATTCCATTAGATTGGCAATGCAACGGTATTTACCCCCAACAACTTGGACTTGTCAGCTACGTTACAGATCCCGAAAGATTCATTTACAAAGCAGAGCTGCTACAAGAAAACCCGCCATCCTTGGCAGTTATTTTTTTAAACATGTGCTCAAAGTTGAGAGGTCAGATAAATTTGTATTGCACCACCGTAGCTGCAAAAGTCTACGGAAACGAGGATTCTGGAAACTGGCATTATAACTTTTTTTCAAGGCTTACAATGCAAAGAGAAAATAAATCTGAAGGAACAAACTTCTATAAACGACTCTTCACAGAAAAAAACACTTGTGAAATTGAAAATTTAGATGAAACGAGGCAGCAGGCTTGTAAACACAATGAAGAATGCTATTTTATGTTTGACGAGGTAAACTGTTTACATTAACTGTTTATAGATAATGGATATTTAAAACTTAACTCAATACTGACGTTTACAACATAACTGTAAATTGAACTCAAATTAAACCCATGTAACAAACTCAAACTGAATTTTTTATAAATTTGACTCATAACCTCCGACTCCCAAACATTTTTTCAACTTGTGCTTTACAATTTAAACAAGCAAACGCCAGTAAACTTTGACAAAATAGAGCATCCTTTTAAAACCTTTGAAATCAGTTGATGTGATTCATTTTCTTGATATAAACATTGCATATTTAGTTATTCTAAATTTTTGTTTTAAACATAAATTTTTGTATTATTGTGCAATGTTTATTGTTAACGGCTATATTTTTTGCTGGACAGAAGCAAGGGTGCAAATGTCACAGTTGGCAAATTTCAGAATAGCACTAAAAATATGCACGTTCTCCCACATCTTCTGTCTTCGTAAAGAGTGAATAAATTATTGTCTTTATTATTTTTTCAATATAAGCGGTATTGTGATGGTAATAACACTTACCGAAAGTTGCAAACAACATTAAACATCTAATAAAATAGGATAAAAACAGACTGTTGAATAAGAATCAAAGCTTTATTGGCAGATAATAAAATTATCAGAAAACATTGAAACATAAAAAACACTTAGGGTTACGAATCCGAATCGTTATCACAACATAAATCCCCCCTCCCCCTCTCTACACACACACACACACACACACACACACACACACACACACACACACACACACACACACACACATTCTTTTTCCACTTGTCTGTAAAGGCCGTTCAGTTCAGGCTAAATTTAATAAAAATCAGAATTGGCTTAGAAAGGGTTTTATGCTTGCACAGCCGTCTGAATGGCACACGCACATTCCGGCATAAGGGCACAAACCAGGCCTGAATTTTTATAACGCTTTATAAAAAATTCTGGCTCAGACTCCTACAAACCTTGGCCGACTTCAACGCTTCAATAAATTTTAATGTAGTAGTATTAGTCTTTCCCAATCATTCAGTCATTTTAAAAATAATAGGTTTTATTTTATTCTATAAATAAAATTTACATTGTAAATTTAAATAAACATTTTGGCAGCTCTTATCATTGATTAATTTGGGCGTGATATATATAGAAAACACGGAACTGCTTGAAAAATCAGTATGCAAAAAATCACAATCATTCATTGAAGAATGCGTTAAACAGGTTTTCACACATTGTTGTCCGGTAGTAAAGGCTCTGGTCATTCCAACAACAGTATTTTATCGGCTGCTATGCGCTGATTATCGAGTTTCTTATGAAGAGTACCACAAGTCATGTTACAATAAACTTTTTGGAAATGTCAATTTTACATCCTTCTTGAATTGTTCAGAAAATTTACGAAAGGTCTACAATCAAATATATGACAGAAGAGACGCCGAACGTTTGACCAACTTAACAATGGAGGAAGAAGTTGAGCTATGCTACACTGCCTTGAAATATTTGGACTGCATTCAGCATCACGTGGAAGTGGTTTGCGATAAGGACGCTGCTCTCCTGCAAAGAATTCTCATCAGGCTGTTGATGGCAAAGGCTTTTGAAAAATTTCATTGCTATTACGCCTTCTCTCACCGCTCCAACTATTTAATGAAAATTAGTGAATCAATTCGATTGAAACACTCAAAGTTCTCGATATACGTTGCTATTATGTTTGTAATAATTTATTTTTAAACTTTTCAACAATTTGCATCCACTGCGTTGAAAAACTAACAAATTATTAAAATATTTGTTAATGACTAACAGCTTAATATAATCAAACACTAATAAAATTTAAAATTAAACAGTGAACTCGAAAATGTCGTAAAGAAAAGTTTTAACAACATTTGAATAAGTCTGCGTTATTTTATAAATTTCTAAAAATTAATTATTGTTCATGCCTTCATATAAAATAGTTAAAAACAGAAACGCAAAAAAAATCTTTGAAATCGTCTGCGATGATCAATCTTGAAATTAACCTTTGCATTTTCCCAATTTCTACTCCACATAATTTTGTCAAACTTTTTTCTATACAGTTCAAAAATTCTACCGCGTAGCTGCATAATTTAGTTTGGCTTGCAAGAGAAATGTTAGTAACATTGAGATTATCCAATTTTTTTAAACTATTGAGTTCATTGCCAGTTTTTTCTTTATTTAAACCTGACAAACTTTCATTTTGTTTAATTTTGTTCTCTTTTTTGCTCAAATTTAAATTCTCATTGTATTCATACAAATCCCTACCGCTAGCTGTCAAGTTTAATCCCGATATGGAAGTATTCATTTGGTCTGCATGATTGAAATAGACAGATGATGAATTTCTTTTTGTAATCATATCAGTAAAAAATTCTGCAGGTGATGCGTTAAATTTGTCTGTTAGTGAATCATCTACATCAAAAGCATTCGTAATGTTACGAATGCTGTTGAAGTACGTCTCTGAGCATTTACCGACGTTTTGAAATCTACTTTCAAATTTTTCTCCCTTCAAGCATTCCAAGTTTTCAACATATTCTTCCCAAAATCGGTCGCAAACTATCTCCAGCATCTGAAGCAAATAAAAGAAATAACCAGTTTAATTACATAAAAACAAATTTTGTAGATTTATAAAAGCGTTACATAATTTTTTAACGCTCACAAAAAAGTGACAGAAGTTTTTGTTAGGTTAAATTGTAATGTATCCTAACATTTTTATCAGATAAAATTGTAAGCTTTCTCAAGGAGGCTTGTAAGCTTTCATCAAGTGGGTGGTCAAATCTACAGTCTCGCCTTTTAGTATTTTGTGAAAAAAGTGCAATTATTGAAAAATCTTTGTACGAGCAGATTACACATTTTGCAATCCTTTGTTTCCTTTATATTTTTGTTCAATTTTTGTTTTAATCTTTTCGCTTACAATTTTAATTTTTTCCGTTCAGGCTGACAGATAAAAGCTGTAATGACCTTCTAGCTCTTCTTGCTCTGCCTAAGTAAAGTAAATTTGAATACAATTGAAAAAATTACACCCCCTCAATAAATTGACCTCCCGGAATGTTACGTCGGCATCGACGTTCTTAACAGAAGAATAAAATTAAACAATTAAACTCTTTGTGCATCTCATAGAGTAAAATTTAATTCTACGTTCAGTGAAAAAATATTTTTTTTATGTTTCTAACAATAATTCGCCGTTTTAATTTCTGAATTCTTAATTGTGTTTGTTGTGAAAAACTTTTTAAGCAGAGTTGAAAATTTGTTACAAAATGCATGACTCAAATTAAATTTTACATATCGCCACATGCATCAATGTTTGTGATACTTGTTAATTTTACATTCCGCTCCACAGAACGTGTACTCTTGCTCGTATGCGAAAACTTCTTATTTACACTACGTTGAAAACATCTTATTGAAGTTTAAATCATAAAATTTGATAGGGAAATCGTTCGCCACAGATTGCAACACAATGTCATTGTTAAAAATTTCAAATGTGGTGTTAGTCAATCGGGTGAAAATATGTGATTATAAATGTTTGGAGTTAAGAAGTTTGAAATTAAACATACCAACAACAAGCGGTAAGCAATCTTTTGATACTTCATAAATTTGTTTCCGTCATCATTGAAAAGTTGTAAGCATAATGATCGGTTGTTATACATAGTTCCACATGTTTCGTTAACAAATTCTTGTTTATTTTCAACAACAAGAATATTATAATATACATCTTTCAATGTTTTCAAAAGTATTTTCATGCACATCTCAACGAGAGAGCATTTCTTTCGTACAGATGAATCAATTCTTTCATCGGAGCAATTCTTGAGTGGAATAATTTTTTCGATGCTCTCGTTATAAAAGGACATGTACCACGTCGGTGCTGGGGCAAAATGTTGAGAAAAGCTGCTCAACCAATGCGAAAAATTGTTTGAAGAATATAACGACATATTGTTTTGAAGACAGATCTCTTCAACGTGCGTTGAAAAATAATCCAATACCAAGCTAAAAGTTTCATCTTTTTTGGCGGACGATACGTTATCGACATAAATTAAATCTAACGGTGTTAAATAATAAAAGTTTTCGACACACTTGGGATTTTTTGGGAAATTTAAATAATGAACTGCTTCAGTCCGATTGTTACACAGTAGCTCCAATGATCGATTAAATTCAAAAATCATAGGATGTTGTAAACATGGCATTAAATGACCTACACAATCATTCATTCTTTCTCTATTCTGGCATATTTCTTCTAAATCTTGGTCTCCCACTTTTGCTGAGCCATTAAGAAATTGTAGGTATTTTTCATAACACCTTTCCACGCCGTGATCTAATTGCAAAATTTTATATCTAACTTTTCCACTACGCGTATGTTTCTGGCGATACCTGTCAGCGGCACCGGACTAAATATGTTTTTTGCTTCGCACTGTACATCAACTTCTGCGATATCGCTCAAGCAGATCACATGTGAAGTGGATGATTTTGTTTCAACATCTTTTACACGAACTGTCATTTTGAACTCTGCTGTATCTTTTAACATGCCTATTAGGCATTCAACACAGTCACCGATTTTAACAGATGAATGATCTGAAACATTGAATTGAATTAGATCGATAGACTTTATTATGAAGACGATTGTATTGTCACTCAAGGAGGTCGTAAAATTGAGAACGCACGAAGATGAGTTTGTATTCTCGATGGGCAAAAGAAGCTCGTGTTTGTTGCGCCTCGTTGTCCCATTTATAAAATTACTGTGTGTTTCGCTAGTTACCTTGGACACAGCTTCTCGTGCTTTACCGCCGCATTCAAAACTATACGAAGCAATAACACCGTGCGAATAAGACGCTATACAATCAACTTGAGACGAAGACTTCATTTCACAGCGTGGTGGAGTAACAGTGAACACTTTGGCATTTGTTTCTTCACTGCTGGCAGTTTCTTTGCAAGTGTAAGTACCTGTTTTCTGTTTAGTAATCCTCTCTATATAAAGGTCTTCAATACGCAAAGAATTTTGGTTTCGTTCAGAAACGGTCAAATGTGAACTAGCCCCGGGAAATTTTTCTCGGGTAGTTTTAAAAAGGATGGTTGAGTAATCATAGATCCATGCGATGACACCCCTCTTCCTAAGTGAACACGTCAACGTCACTGAGGTGGCGTTCTCTATAACCAGTACGCTGTTCGGTCTTATACCGAACACAGACTGAGAGAAAACCATTTTATGCGTTGAAGTGATGAAGAACAGAAGCAGCGGCGACATCGACTTCAAGCGAACGTCCATCATCGCGAATAAAATCGGACAAAATGCTTCGACCGAATCGTAAACATCAATGACGTAAAAAAGATTCAAATAACAAAAATATTTGCCATTTTCAAATGATTATTCATGTTAATATCACAATATGGTAAATTCCGGCTTTTGAATTTCGACTAGACTACATCCCGTAAAATGTAAATATATATATAATAATAATTCACAGAAAATTGACAAGAAAATATTTAGCTTGGGTGAAATTAATAAATAAACAAATATTTATATGAAACATTAAATGTATATATATATATATATATATATATATATATATATATATATATATATATATATATATATGTATATATATCTGTGTGTGTGCA